AAAAATAGGAAGGACTAGTTCCGGGCACTGCTAAGTAATTTGAAATGTCAAAGAGCGAGAGACGGGTGATTGAAATTGACGTGACATAATCACCTGAAAGTAACGAAGCCTGGCAGAAATATGGTGTGCGACGAACAGTAAAGGGAGGACGATTTACGACTGTCCCAATTTATACTAAGATTGTACATATCGATCTTGATACAGCCTTTATATTAAGCGTACAAACTCCCTAATGTTCTATAAACCTTGAGCTAAGATCGGAAGTCACTGATTGGATCTTCCTTTATACATTTACCAGGATAATACTCAAATCAAAGTTTCAAACTTACGAAATAACTATGAACTAATAGTTGCCCTCAACTTAAATAGAATTAAAATATTGAATTACCGCGCAAAGTTGGCAGTATGTCCTACTCTTGCATACACCTCTATCAGACGTCATATCTGAATTCACTCCTTTCTTACCCATTCTCTAATACACAATCCAGCCAAAATGTTTTCGGTCTTTCTCTACATTTGTAGCTATCTATATTTATACTGTTATTTCTAATGTATATAAATTAAATTGCGAATATATATAGTAAGTTTAAAGGTATTTATGATGTGCCGCCATTTTTCAGGCAAGGTGTAATCTCACATGCGGAGAGAACATCATAAAACATGTACGCCGTAAGTCAATCACAATACGAGTATACCTTCATTATCTTTTCACTTCAATAACCTGACTAAATTGGAATGTACTAATAACCAATAGTAGTTTAAAGGAAGATATGGTATTTTTAATTTATCTGCTGCACGGATCGTATCCGGTGATAATCCCCGTTTTACTCTATTTGAATTACAGTAACTGTCTTCTATGTTTGTGGTTTGTGTCAAAAAACTTGACATTGACAAGCTTGTAATAAAAGGACGTCATAATTTTCTCTTTTCAAAGTCCTTAAGTGGCCACTAAAGTCGTTTTTTAGTAAAGAATCAGTAAGAGAAATGTACTGTAAGTGATTTTAACTACTATTACTAGATTACGAAACTCATATCAAGTCAGAGGAACGAAGTATGACGTCATGATTACTCCACATATAGAGTTATCGTTCAATCACTTACCTGTTGGACGTGCCGGTCGAACGTCAAGTGTTGGCAAGGGGCCAAGTTACACTGGCCATCAAATCTACTTAATTCTCGTTATTAACGAGCAGTCACAGACTTAGGTGTCGGATTGCGGTCTTCAATGAACTTGGAGCTTTAAAGCTTTGAATATTAACATGTATTTAATGATCTTGACGTTAATTTTTTATATTAAAAGAAATAATTATACGCAATATGAAACTTACGATGTGCAATATTTTATACATTACCAGACAACTGTGCTAATTGATGATTTCGTAATCAATATTATTAGAAATTATTTGAAATAGTACAAATAAAAATGTTTATTTTTGAATCTTGTCTTAGCGGTTAAGAACATCGCAGCAACGAATTGTGTAATTTCAATATACCGGAGAACATTTTGTCTACTGCATATTGCTAGAGGTTATTTTTCAGTTAGGTAAATGACAACGGTTTTAAGAGATTTTAAATGCATAAATTAAACTGTACCGTAAAATCTCTTTAATCACATTGTGATTTATATTTACAAGAATCAATTTTAATGAAAAACATTTGAAAATACGAAATGAACGTCGATTACAAAAGAAAATTTTTATTCAAAACGCTTTGAATGTCGGCAAATCCGATTTGAAAAAGATGTCAAATTTATATTTAAAGAAATGAAATGAGAGATTGGAATGATTTATGAAGACGCTTTTATATCAAAATCACGATATTCTAGAATTGGAAATATAATTTAACTAGCTTTCGCCCGCGACTCTGTCCGCGTGGAATTAAAAAAAAACTAAGTGGTCTATGTGTTTTTCCAGACTATCCTCTACATCCATACCAAATTTCATCGAAATCCGTTTAGCCGTTTAGGCTACAAACTCTAACAAACATCCATCCATCCATCCATCTATCTAAACTTTCGCATTTATAATATTAGTATGATAACTAGATTACATTAAAATGTACTTGTATTTTTTAACCTCAGAGATCGAAACATTTTCTCGTTTGTTGTATAAATATTTATTTAAATAAAGACAAAGAAGTAAACGTCAATAATAAAAGAAAATTCGTATTACACTAATTAGCTAGGAAAATAGTCCGGTTAAACAATATTAGAGTTTAGATAGGTAGTCTATTTATTGTTAAACTAGCTGTTCGCGTGCGGCTTCATCCGCATGAAATTATAAAAACTTTATTTTATTCTTTACCTTTGTCAAAATTTTAATTGCAAATGTCAAAATGACATGACGATGGCAAACTTGCTCCCTTGATGTTGGCAGCAACTTATGGTCTCTTTCCCACATTATGATTTTTTATCCAAAATATGTACCCCCTAAGTTTAATGGCGTGAAAATATATAGCCTAAAGTGTGACGTGAGTGTAGGGCTTTTTATTAAAAAAAAGATTTATTCAAAAATGTGCTGTAATTGCTGACATCTTAGGCAACAAAGAAGTGTGTGTTTACGCTTTATTATAATAGTATAGATATAGATTAAATAAACAAGGTTTTATGAACAAAATCCAAAGGCTAATAGATGAATAGTCGATGTTTATTTTAATTAGTATTGTAGTTAATGTTTTCAAAATATACAGCAGCTTTATAAAATCTAAATTAATATTTTTAACGACCTTATGTAACTCAGTAAAATGCTGTGTTCGGTTACTCTTAGTAAGGCATTTGTAGCAGAATAATATATCGCTTCTACGTGCTTAGTGGTTTGTTTCTTAGCATTTACGGAAGTCGACGCCTGTAGTCGTAAATTTAATATGTTTACTATTTTCTTTAAATAAATGTATGGTTTGTGGTATATTTTATTTAGGAAACTTTTTATATAATAAACTAGCTGTTGCTCGCGACTTCGCCCGCGTGAAATTTAAAAATAATGAAAAATATAGCCTATATTATTCACAGATACCTTTCTAATGGCGAAAGAATTTTTAAAATCGGCCCAATAGTTTTTGAGTTATTTCAATACATACAAAAATACAAATCTTTCCTCTTTATAATATTAGTATAGATAAACTTATGCTTCTTAGTACGTTTTGTTAATTTTCATTTTAATTCTGATATTTTCTTAACTAACCATAACTTTACCTACAACTGTGTTTTGTTTATCTTAATTTAAATTGTTCATACTTTTGTGTACACGACAATACAAGAAAACTTTATTAAAACTCTTAAGGATTTACAAAATAATTAATGTTGTTTATAAAAAGAACATTGTTTCTGTAAGACAAGAAAATAACAACCTTTTATAAAAATTGCAGCAAAGTTAAATTCCACTGAATATTTAGACAATACTTATGAAATATAATAACAATTTTTACAAAATATTAATAATAAGAAGTGTAATTTACGTAACAAAAAGAAAGGGATGTCTTTTGTAAAACACCAGCCTCAATCCTTATTATATTATAAGGCCCTTCAATAGCATTCTCCGGCCCTAAACTTTGTAAAAGCTAAGGGCTATAAAGAGAAACGAGTTTGAAGGGTCAACCTAATTAGTGTAATTTGATCTAAACGACAGTTTTTTTTCCCTCCCCTTTAGAGAATGCGAATTCTTCAATTACACAGCTTTGAACATCTCTGTAAAAAGAAAATGGTCTTTTATTATTTTAAATTGAAGTTTTCGCTGTTGCCATTTATAAAACATTACAATGTCTATATGTCATTTATTTTTTTAATATTACGTAATATTTACATGATCAACATTAAAATTTAGCAAGGAATTAGTGCCATTTTAGTTTCACAGCTAAAACTATTTTGAACAAAGGAACTGTTGCAAATTAAATTTTTCTCAATAAAATTGTATTCAGATATAATTTTAATTCAGGAAGCGGTATTGTAATGAACTTTATTTTATTTATTATCAACCCTTACAATATTCAATCCAAGTTAGATGTGACTTTTGTAAGTTAACAGGGAAGTTAACAAAGTTACTGGAACAAGGGTTATCTTGATACCCGCGAAGAATTCTTAACTTTAAGAGTTAAGAACTTAAGGGTCAGCGTTACTGGAAGACCGAATATTCTTGATATTTAAAAAAAAAAGAATGAAACGGAACGTTCTTGATACTCTTTATTAATAAGTAAAATAACAGCGGTAGAGCCCGCTTTAACATCTTCGCACGAATGGGCTGGCTCGCACGGTGAAATACCACGACCACACAGAAAACAGGCGTGAAGTGGAAGCAATTCCGCGTTTCGTCTGATGAGTGTGGTGCCGGAGGCCTAATTTTAGTCCCTTTCCCTTTCCACACTTATCTTAAGAGGAGAGGATGGACATGAAGAGGACATTTCCCCTTCCTATGCATCTCCTCCTCCGTCAAATCCACTTTCCCTTCTCAACCTCTCCTTATAAGAAAAGGGTGGTAAAGAGAAAGAGACTTAAATTAGGCCTCCGGCACCACACTCATCAAACGAAACACGGCAATGCTTCCATTTGACGCCTGTCTTCTTTGTGGTCGTGGTATTACACCGGGCGTGCCGGCCCATTCGTGCTAATATGTTAAAGCGGGCACTACCACTCTGATATTAACTTAATATTAACATACAGTTCAAAGGTCACAGAGCGTAACTAACTATAGACGCAGATGTACGTTTCCTCGTGCATCTTGAATTTACTGAACTGTTCAACTGTTAAACAAGATTACTTTGCATGTACTAACTTTAAATCATTTTCTAATATTTCAACAAATCTAACCTCACTTTCTTCCTAATTAAAAAAAATGGCAAGCAAATTACTTGATTTAATTTTACATATGTACATACTAGTTCCGAGGCCCCTGGACTTTTTCCTGTTATTGTTCTTTTACATTTTACACATTTCACATTTATACATTTTTAAAGACTTGATTTTACTTACCTGCAAATTTATTTTCATCATACTTACTGCGTTGGCGCAGCGACCCAAAGTGGGTCTCGGCCTCCGACACGAGGGAGCACCAGCGTCGTCTGTCCTGCGTCGTCGCCGGCCAGTCGATCGACTATAGCTCGCGCAGGCCCAGCTCTACGGCGTCTCGCCAGGTCGTATATTTTCATCTAATCTTATTTAATTATATTTTAATATCCAACATTCCATCCAATATCCTGGTCCTGGTGGTGGTCCTTCGAGCCGGAAATACCTATGTAAAAGTGTAGAGTTATCTATTTTCTAGGTACAAAAAAATGTACACATTACAACATTAATTTTAGTTTCAGATACTAAAATGTAAAACATAAAAACAGGTTTAAATTATTTTAATTAAAAACAACACCAGTATTCGTCCGTGCAACGAAATCTAGGCGACAGCTGCGCTTTTAAGTTAAGAACTAGTTTGTTCAGGAAATACTCTTTACGGAAAATTCACAATTTGTCAGAGAAACTGTCGCTAGATTTAAATTTAAAATATAGAGAAACTATCGCGTATTTCATATTCACAGCTTTAGTTTCTGTTTAGAAATAAGAAAACTACTGACATGTATGTTTAATCCTTAAATTTTTATACATTTAGGGATGGCTACAAAAGACCACAGATAGTATGGATGGATTGTGTAAAGGGTTTATGCGTAAGAAGGTAGAATTCAGATATGACGGCTGATAATGGTGTATGGTAGAGTAGTAGATAATGTACAGACACTCGGTAAGAAAAGGGGCTGATAGCATGAATTTTCATATAGAAGAATCTCAAATTATGAAATCAGAAGCGATTACTACGGAAGGTTCTCTCTCACAAAGTATTCAAAAACTTATTTTTAAACGCTTACATCTATGAGATAAAAATTTTTTCGAAAAATAACTTAGCCGTAAGATCATTTAAATGTATTTATGTTTTTTAAAATGGAATAAAACAGAAGCATTTGGCACAGTAACGGTACAGTAAAAGCCGACGATGTTGTTTCACTGCAATCGGCACGTTTATTCAGCCATCCCGGCGACGAATTTGCATTTGACTAAAGTTGATTGAAATTTAATTACGTACTGAATGCAAAACGCACTCAAATCAACTATAGTATTTCAAAAGTAACGCTTCTGAATGTATATTTGTTATTGTTTTTCAAATAGGTTTATTTGAATTACAATACAACGTCATACTCGTACATTAATATTGGTAGAACCAGTTTTATCATCGCACGAACTAGCTTCTCCTTCTATACTATTATAGTAAACCGTAAAACACACTTCTTTGTTGCCTAAGATGTCTGAAATTACAGCATGTTTTTGAATAATTATCTTTTTAATAAAAAGCCTTACACTTGCGTCACACTTTAGGCAATATATTTTCACGTCATTAAACTTAGGGGTAAATGTTTTGGATAAAAACCCTAATGTGGGAAAGAGACCATAAGTTGCTGCCAACATCAAGGAAGCAAGATTGCCAAGTCTTGTCATGACATGTCGTTTTGACATTTGCAATTGACAATTTGACACATGTAAACATTAAAATAATTTTATGCTGATGAAATCGCACGGAAACAGCTAGTCTCTAATAAAAATCAAAAGTAATTTGGTAGCAATACAAAATGAAAAGCCAGAAGGCGCAGGTTAATAATATTTTACTTAAATCTAATTCCTCTTACATTTGTAATGATTTTCTCGAAGTCTTCTTAATTTATTACCGGCATTAAAGCGCTTAAGTAAGAGTCAACACGTAATTTAATTCAGAGATTAGAAGATTACGGCTTAGGTTAATATTTTTTAAGACTTTCAAAATATTTTCCTGATTGGATATAATACACATTTTAGATTATATGTAGTCTAACAAAATCTCTGTGTGTTTAAGTAAGAAGTATTTATATTTTTGTATATTCTTTGTTTTACAGAATTCAACGCAGTTTTATAAACATAAATAGATATTATGTAGACTTGGTATACGTGAGTATACCTGAAACTAATATATCGTACAACTGTTTAGTCTCGTTTTGATTCCGATAAGCTTATATGGAGGTTACACTACTCGATTTTTAGTTGTACAACTAAACAGTTGATTGCCAAACAATCAACAATCGTACAATAGTTGTGCGATAGTTTAGTCAAAGTAAGCCTCCAATACTTCATTTTGTAATGAGAATAAAGCAGTATAAAATGTAAAGTAAGTAAACATACCATACTTTGGAACGTAACTTATTATAAAGTTGTGAAACTCATGTTCCCGTAAAGGTAAACCTGTGTGTAACATGTAATAAATTAGGTACGGTCTGGGAACTTGAGAAATACAGTTTCCGTAACAAAATTAACGAGGTTTACGTCACCCGCGGCTTGCGACCATCGATTTTCCATTTGAAACCGCCCACCTCTTTGTGTTTAAGTAATTACAATTAATTGCGTTTTCACTTGTCGCTTCGCTTCGAGATTATCAAGTAGGCCAGACTTCGTAAGTCTTAAAGCTGATAAATGTAATGAGTTAAAGTAATTCATATGGTTCTAAAAGTTATTTTATTTGAGTTATAGTTGTAGGAACAATGTATTTTCAGCCATAATAATGCAAAGAAATTTAGTGCCAACTAAAAATTAACATGAATACAAACTTACTCTACATGTTCGAAATGAGTAAATAGTTACTATAATATTGTTCGTATGATACTTTACTAGTTTCTTATCACAATAGGGTAGTCGAGGCTAATAAATCCGTATCTTACAATCATAAAAACCACTATAGTTTAAAATTAATTAGTTACTATGTCCTGTAAAAAAAAACAACGAATTTAATTCTATACTCAAATAAATGTTATAAATCCCTGCAATGTTTGTCTAACAACATGGCACTTGATCAAAGACGGGGGAAAAAGGAAATACACGCTCGACGCAACTCGACGCAGGTGCGGGCGGATATCTCATTCCGTCGGTCAACAACTGGATGAGCTCAGACAACTGTACCAGATTAAATTAACACACACTGAATAAGATTCTGTTTTCATAAATAACTATGCATACTTATATGTTTTGTTAGGCTATTATGGAATTTATTAACATTGAGAACAGGCGCACGCCTTTGATTAAACTAGCGCTCCACCGATGTGCGATTGTCGATTGTTTCGCAGCCAATTCAACTGTTTAGTTGCACGACTAAAAATCGAGTAGTGTACCTCCATATAAACCTACAGGAATCAAAGCAAGACTAAACCGTTGTGCGAGAGGTTAGTTTCAGGTAGGCGCACAGTCTACAGCTGTGGTTCTAAATATTTCTCTTTCAGGATATCGTGTGTAAAATGAATATTGTAGATAATGGAAAAATTTACGACACCAACAAAAGACATAACAGGTATGGCTCATTATAAATTCATATATACAACCATCCATCCGTTAAATCCGTGGTCGTTAACTGTTAGACTTAGGGCTCCCTTATTAATGGCTTCATCGGTCCCCAGGTATCCGACGCAGTTCTACAACTTTCGGTCTATCTTGTCCACGTTACACGACTACGTTACCTTTATTATAAATCTATACTAATACAATAAAGAGAAAAGATTTTTATTTTTGTATATATTTAAATAACTCAAAAACTGGACTGATATCAAAAAATCTTTCACCATTAAAAGGACACGGACAAAGGCGCGAGCAACAGCTAGTCTATACTTATACTATACAGAGAAAAAATTGTATTTTTGTATGTATTAAAATAACTCTAAAACTACAGGGTCGATATCAAAAATTCCTTCACCATTAAAAAGCTACGTTACCATTGAGTAAGGCTGATTTTTTTATTCTACGTGGACAAAGTCGCGAGCAATAGTTAGCAATATTCAACACGGTAGTGTATCAGACATTTGAAGTGAGATTTATCGTGTCAAATGTCAAACTTATCTGACCCATTGGGCGTAATAAAAAAGTGTAGTTCCGGAGTTGAGTACACGTTTTATTCAATGGCGGCCGTTATATATCCTGACGGTCCATTTGTTTCACGAAGTATCCGGCCCTCTGGTTTATTGCGTCTGTTCGTATATCTTTATGAGTTATTTTATGATCAATAGTGGTATAAAATTTACGAGCATATTTTTGTTTTTCTATTTTCTTTGTTGTTTCATATTCTTTGAAAATTTTACATTTAGTACATTTGGCCTGTCTGTCTTTTTATATTCTTTGTTATTCTTTTCTTTGTCGTTGGATAATTTAAGTGGAGAAACTTAGCCAAATAGATATCGGTTGAAAGTTACTTCTGCAACAGTTTACCTTTCGCTGAATGTTCCAGAAGTTATGTTTTTATACATAATCGTCTCCGCGGAATTAAATCAGGTAACAGCCTATATTACTAAGGAATATATTTCTAATGGTGAAAGACTTTTTCAATCGACTCAGTAGTTTTAAAGTGATCATAATACATACAAAAAGATATTTCTTTATAATATCAACATAGATTTAGTAAGTCAATTTTCAAATATGTTGTCCAATTTAATAATTGAAATGTCCACAAATATGAACTCTTCGTATTAATCTAATGCAGTCTAAAAGAATCAAAAGTAAACGTGCCTTTTTTTATTACAATATTTGTTGTTGGTTATTTTTTCATATTATGATATAATTTTATTGTATATTTATTTGAATATCGTGTTATAATGATTTATATATATTATAATTCTTTTTTATTATAAGACTAAAGCTGTGTACCAACTGTGTGAGATTTTTTTTTCTGAAACACAACAAAATTAATGTAATCAAATCTAATTAAAGTAATTGAAATTGTATATCTGAACGCACCAATTTTAAGTTTTTTTTTTTTATTTAAATTATATATGGCTTTCATGTTTTATATTATTTTAGTAGTTGCCAGTGTGTCTATACCTTTAAAATAAAGAAAACTATTAAACTAAAGTTATAAAAGACTTCGTACTCACGACGGCTTACACTTGCTGCCTGAAAGTGGAGAGATAGCTGAAGGTAATTTATTTCCACTTCAATATTTACGTAAGTGAAAAAAATATGTACGTGATTTTTTAAATCGTAAATTTTTTTATGTGTGCTAAATAATGACATTCGAAACATTATTTTAACAAAAATGAGATATCACGAACATTTATCTAATAGTTCAAATTCCAGTTATTAGGAAACTGGTACAGGTAGACCTAGAAAGAGATAGATTGAGTAAACGGTGACATGATGAAGAAGGGAGTGATGACTGAGATGACGTATGACAGAGTTATTTGGAGGACGAAAACCTGGTGTGCTGACCCTAAGGGAGTTGAATTTTGTAGCTGAGTTGTAAGGTTCAAATTTGATGCGTCGTAATTAATCTTATTAATGAAGATTTGTTTTGCGAAATTTGTATTTGAAACGTAGGATAGTTTACGTAGGAGCCAAATGTAAGATTATTTTTACAGCATGCGACGTGTTTTGTTGATACTATCGCTCGCAACAGCGTGCCTGGCGTACTGCCCGAACCCTGATACTACTGGCTTTAGGAACAGCGAGTGGCAACCAAATAATGTTCTCATAAAAATGTTGAACTTCTTTTACGACAGTATGTAAGTACGTTATTTACAATAACATTTATTTAATACTAGCTTTCGCCCGCGGCTCGTCTGCGCGGAATTAAAGAAGAATTAAGTAAGTATATGTTCTTCGAGACTATCCTCTACATTCATGCCAAATTTCATTGATATCCGTTCAGCCGTTTAGGTTATAAACTCTAACAAACATCCATCGTAACTTTCGCATTTATAATATTAATTAATAATTAATTAATAAAAGTTTCTAAACTATACAATTTATTTACGGTATGCATTTGTATATTATTTCTATTTAATAACAATTCTGCTGTAATTATATTTAAAGTGAAGCCCTTCAAAATTAATAGGTATCTTCTAAATTAGTGTGTAACTTTCGGTCACATATAAACTATCAGTTGCGATCGTGGTCAAAAAATAACACGGCAACAGTTCTATGTAATATTAAACAAAAGAACATTTAAAACATTTCATGGCCATTTATTTACAAATATTCTCTACAGAGCTCTAACCACAGCGGACACTTGTTCACCTCAGAAGCGTTTCATATCGCTGTATGTGTTAGCTAAGACGTACTTCCTGTCGTCCAATGACACGAACTACGAACGAGCTATCGCCGATGGCAGACGTAAAGCAGAGAAACAGCTGAAGCAAACGGCAGCGGCGATCGCGGGGCCGTTCCGAGGTCTTGTTGATAGCGTACTCTCTGTTATTGATCAGGTAACTTCGTATTAGTAAGAGTGGTAGGACGTAATACAAAATCTATTGTCGAATTCACTTGAACTGTGCCTATTTTTTACTTGTCTATATAGTTCCGAAGACCAGATACTTTTTACTTTCATTTTCCATTGAGGTAAGGTTAAAAGGGGGGAATCCTTTTCCTTGTTGGTAACAAGTAGACATTTGCAATCTTCTCCTCTACCTCTCTAGCCTCTACCCATAGACATCCAGAATAAACTATTCTGGATGTCTATGGGTAGAGGCTTCTTTGTTTTAGCGATTCAGGTTTCCGAAAGAATTAATCAACATTCTCCTTATCCTACTCCCGTAAGGTCGGCGCAACAGGTTTTTGTCTTCCAAATAAGTCTATCATATGTCATCGCAGTCATCACTCCCTTCTTGATCATGTCACCAATGGCACGCAATTCATCCATCTCTTTCTAGGTCTATCTCTACCGATGTTCCTTTCCACACTCATAACTAACGTTCTTCTTGTAATAGTTTTATATTTATTGACAGAATATGAGTGTTTTGTAATGTATAATTAAATGTTGGGTTTGCGATAATGAAGCCCGTCATTAAATTCCATTGCTTCAATTAACCGGGTAACGTGTATAATTAACTTTGTATTGGAGTCAACCGCTGATTAAATCGGCCCCTTACGGCCCGCGAACGTTATGCCTTAATTATCTGTAATGAACCCATCGACGCTACGCAATAGTTCGGTATTAAAACCAAATTAAACCATTGTTACATATCAATAGAATTTCGCATTCAATCGATGCAGTACCCGTAACCTTAATTTATGGAAATGCCATTAGAAATGTTTCTATCCGCATCTGAAAAAACACGTCCACATTTTTTTTAATATCACAATTCACGCAACTCAATTAATATTTCGATTATGATACAAAATATGTATGACTTTGTATGGAGGAATGAATCTCATGTAACAAGGACATTACTTATGAGTGTGTACACCGGTAGAGGTAGACGTAGAAAGAGATGTATGGATACCTACCTACCACCACACATGGCCCCACCGAACGCATGCACCATGTATGGATTGCGTGAAAGGTGACATGATCAAGAAGGGAGTGATGACTGAGATGACGCATAGAGTTATTTGGAAGGACGAGAACTCGCTGTGCGGACCCTATCGGAGTAGGATACGGTAGGGAAGTTATATATATGATCGTGGGTTTCCATCGCTCGAACATTCGTAGATCGTTGTCTCATTCTTTACGAAGATAATGTCACGGGAGACACTATATCTTATGCAGGTAAGGCTTGATCTTAGACCTGGAAACGCCTTCGTGCCGGTTTTTTACATCTACGTCATTGCATGATACAGCAATATGAATAGACCGCAAACGTGCTGAAACATTATAGTGATAAAACTATATGGACCACGGGCCACGTCCTGACCGCAATAAGCCATATTTATAGCGGTAGAGTGATTATTAAATTAAACACAATCACGTTTATTTGGGTTTATATTATAACAATTTATGTTCATAGTTGTTTGTGGTTAATATTCATTGCAGTGTCCACGTTAGAATTATTATAATGAATAACTTGTTCATCCGTTTGCTAGATTAAAGAAACATCATTGAACAATATAATTTTTGCTCTAAGTTCATTCCTTATTAAAGCGATTATTTTAGACAGCTTATATTATCATCATCACCAGCTCACTATATGTCCCCACCGAGGGACTCGGAGCCTACCCTAAGTTAGGGGTGACTAGGCCATAGTCAACCACGCTGGCCCACTGCGGTTTGGTTGACGTCACACATATCTTTGAATTTCTTCGCCGATATGTGCAGGTTGCATCACGATGTTTTCTAAATTTCTAAATTATCTATGTCTTATAGTAGACAACTTAAGTTATGTACCAATAAATAAAAAAGTTTTAAAACATTACAATTAGTTACAGTTATGCAAAATGTTGAGGAACGTTAAGAAACAATGTAATTTTTCACTACTGCCAACTCTATCATCTTTATACTACAATTTTAGTGACACGAAGTCTTTAAATAAAATAGACTTCTTTACATTTCACTAACTTAACGGTGCAAATAATCCCCGACTGTGGAGATTTCACTGAGATTTTGCCAGGGCCGGACTTTGGTGGGCGGAAGACGCGTGGCGGGCGCGGACGGTGCAAATCCGTACTGAAATCTCAAACCGTCTCTACGTGCTCGAGTGCAAATTCACATCGCTCTTGAGTCGAGCTCTTGAATATCACGATTATAGTCAACGCCCCACTGACATTCCCACAGTTGCATTTCAACTTTATAAAATAGTTGCGATAACAGCTAGAAAATTTAACTGTTAAAATTAATTTAAAGTGAAGAGAATCTAATTTACCAGTTTCATTTAAGCCATTATAACAGACAAGTTGTTGCTCGTGACTGCGTCCGTGTGGAATTATCAAAAAAAGTGACTAGCCAATGTGTTCTTCCAGACTAATCTCTACTTTGCCAAATTTCATAGAGATCTGTTTAGCCGTTTAGGCTACAAACTCTAAAAAACATCCATCCATCTAACCTTTCGCATTTATAATATTAGTAACATACTAACATAAGATTAAGATGTCAAGGCGTTTACTAAGCAGTGTTTAATATTCGTATAAGTATACCTTTATCCATTTAAAGTCTTACTTGACACTGATTTAAATTATCCACAGCCTATGAACGACGTACTAGTTAGCTGTAAACCGGACACCTACCAAGATGATTGCAGAGCTAATCTGAATGACTACCGAGCGAGGTTCGAAAAGGAATGCAAAGGATATCATAACAACGTGGCGGTTCATAGCCGTCTTACCAGATGGGCAAATAGACAAGACGCTATCGACCACACAGAAGACCTTGTACATGCCAGTAATACGATGAGAGGTGATAATGCTGTTTTAGATTACTTCCAGAAGACGTCAGCAGTGAAATACAAAGACGCCTTAAAAGAACTCCAAGGTATTGTACAGCAAGTGAAGCATGGAATCTTCAATTGTAATGCTCTCTCGTTTGTAAATATACATTGCTTGTAGTAGTTTTGTCAATAATTTTGTAATAAAAATTCATTTCGGTAAATTGATATAAATTATGAGCGGTTATTTTGTGAAATATTTTTTCAATAAATATTGGTTTGTTTATTTTTCCTTTCAAGATTACAAACATTTTGGATTCAAATTTAGCTATTCAACTTGACTTGTCTACAATTTAAAAAAATGCTTAAACAAACTATTTTACGGGAATTTATTTCTGGAACCTTCTTAAAACCAAAATATTTTCGTAACCTGTAACGCCATCTATTATTCGGAATCTGAAGTTTATTACTGTTAAAGTAAAGATACGCTAGTGTACTTTGTACTTCATAGATGGCGCTATCCTTTTATTAATTTGCCAGATTTACGACTGAATGAATTTTTAATTAGATTCAAAACAAGATTTTAATAATTATTTTAAAGAATTCAAACAACTGACTGAAAATGTTTATTGCAACTTCAAAATACATACCCAAAAACACAAATTTTATTTACAAAAATATCCTTAGTAATTAAACATCTTTAAATCTAATATTGAAAAATATTTTAAATTCCTAATATTTAAATCAGAGCAATACTATTTAATTACACAATTAACTAGGCCTCTGCTGATACGTTTAGGATTATGTACAATTTTGATTTATTAAAAAAAAATTAAACGACACAATTATGCAATTTTATATAGAAGAATACGTAAAATAAAAGCATAAATTAAAAAGAATCTTACAAATACCGACTAGAGAATGACTATAAATTATTTTTACAAATCCTAACAAACAAAGCAGTCGCTTATTTAAATTTACAAATGACTAAAAACCATGCTAATTACAACACTTACTAATTATTTGTACGTTACGACCATCTCTTTTATTATACAAATTCGGTTTTTCAAGAATTTAGAAATAAAACACTATCGATTAATTCCTCGCATATGTTAACGCTTTTAACTCTTATATTTTAAAAATACTTTTGATATCACCTTTAATACTGGTTAAATTCTTAACGGAATGATAAAATTGAACACAAATATAAAAAAATGCTACAACACTCAGGCTGTAAATGTTTTAAATTAAATTCAATCAACAATCAATTACGTCATTTCCATTCTACCGTAAAGGTAAAGAAACTATTAATTTTTTCGTAAATTTCTTTTTCAAATCCCATATCGTCCTAATTATCCGTTCAAGGCGGTGCGGCAGCTATATTATTGGGAACAATCTCTGATTCCTCATCGGCAGTATCCGCTTCGCTGTCCTTAGAAACTGGTTCTTCAGGCTCATCTCGCATCAGAGCTCTGTACTTCTTGGCGATTATCTCCCAGTCAACAACATTCTCGATACGTGTCATATTGTTGAAACTTAATTGAGATCCCAAAGGACTTAAATGCACCACAGATAGACGTGTGGAATCTAAAACAAACAAGTTTATGTCCTTTTAAAACCTCATACTATTCGTAGTGTTTCAGTTGCTGTTATTATTTTGTTAATTGTGGATTTAGCGCGCACACCTTTGACGCCTAAGGTGGCAAATGAGCAAGCGGCCACCTGAATCCACCGAAATGGAAAGCGACCGCTGCCCATAAACATCCGCAATTGCAGATGCGTTGCCTACTCTTAATTGACGGAGGAGGAGACCTACAAAATGAGGACATTTCCTCTCCCAATGCGTCTCCTCCACCGTCAAATCCATTTTTCCTTCTCATCCATTTCCTCTTAAGAAAAGGGTGGAAAGGTAAAGGGACTAAAATTAGGCCTCCCGGGCCACATTCATCAGAAGAAACGTAGAATTGTTTCCACTTCACGCCTGTTTTCTGTGTGGTCGTGGTATTACACCGGGCGAGTCGGCACATTCGAAGATATTAAAGCGGGCTCTACCACCGTCAAAAGTCTCGCTTTGTTTCCTATGAGCTTATATGGAGATACGGACCACTACTCAATTTTTGTTGTGCAACTAAACAGTTGAATTCACTACGAAACAATCGACAATCGCAGAATTAGATGTCCGATAGTTTAAGTCAAAGGTACACGTTTTTTGTATACTTAAAACACTGGCAGTAAAGTTTACAATTCTGTATATATAAAATGAATTTTACCTTTCGGCACAACCTGTCCTCGTTTGACTTTAGACAGCCATTTCGCTCCTGCCTTCGATCGAGCACTTAATTGATCTTGTCTTTGCATTCCGATCATGTGCACCAAGCTTGGTCGTTTCTTCTTTGTTAGTCGATTCTATATATAGAAAGAATCATAGAAAACGAAAGTATAAATAAGAAATCGAATAGCGAATATCTAACGGCAAAAGATTTCTGAATCAATTCATAGCTTAGATATTCAAACATCTTACCTTACACCTGTGTATCAACCACATAAGCCAAGTTGTCACCAAATTAAGTGGCGATGGCGCTGTGTTCGTTCTATGCATGTTTCGAATCAGCTTCGATAGACCGTACTTCCATTCTATATCTGATTGTGCCTATGAAATTAAATAAATTGAGAAACATTTGTAGTAAATAAATTTGTTAACGTGCTGTCGTCTTCAATTTTTACAAGATTAGAAGCTGAGGGGACTATAAAAAATCCCTTTTTATGTAGCTTTTATTTGCTGGTAATTATCAGAAATTAAACAATAGTAACAAAGTTGATTAAATTTCAGTTTAATTCAATTGATCAGTTTATTCAGTTTTATTTGATCTCTTTTAATTTAAATCAAATGAAGTGGTGAAACCAATGCATAAGCTTAAAAATTGTCTTGTTTTTAAATGCAATATATTTATTAGTAATATTAGGAGTTTTTATGATTTATGGGTTAGTTAGATTTTAAACAATGTGGCCGGCGTAGCGTCATTTGTACGTATTTTCTAAAAGGTACCTGAATTCTCTGATAAGTGTCTGACATCATAGCAATCAGTAGATTAATTAGTACCACCACCGACACCAGCATATAAATTCCGAATACAATTTTGAATAAGTAATTAGTCCACGCGGGTTGGGTGTTTGTATCATTCCGATGCACCCTCGTCTGCTCGGTCGTCGTCTGCCCAAACACAGCGAAGAATAGCAGCTCGAAGGAAAATAGCGGGTTCATCGTCACTGCGAACAAAACCCGAGCTCGAAGTGACCGTGACATTACCTGTATACGCTGGTAAGTGTCCGACATCATCGCAATCAGGAGCGTTATGAGCACCACGACAGATATCAGCAAGTAGCCCCCGAACACGAACTTGAAGATGTTCTGCGTCCACGAAGGTCTCACGCTCGATATGTAGTTCAAGTCGGACAACGTAATCTGGCCGAAAAGGGCGAAGAACAATTTCTCGAAGGCCTCGATCGGTGATAAAGTCACTAGAAGACAATGCTCAAATGGACCAAATTCCAATTTGCTCAGAACTCAGCAGAAAGAGGTAGGGGTAGCTTAATGCATCTTGTCATTTAGGTTAATTTAGTATTGATGAAGTCGTGTGTTCATGTTTTACATGGCATCAATATACCCCTACGACGCAAACTAAATTGAATTCCTATTATTAAAACTTATCGTAGTAAATGGTTAAGGGTTCCTGAATTCATGTGAACATTTTAAAAACGAACCATTATTACGATAACTTCTAATAATGAATTCATTAGAACTTTTAAAAACATCAACTAATTTGACGTCAAATGTGCACACGGATGGGGTAGATTGATACGTGTAAATGTGATGAAGTATGTTCAGTAACTGTGACTGTCTTTTGAGTAATCGATAATTTTGTAAATAGTATCGTAGTCTTATGAGAATGTCGATTAGAGTTGTAAAGTGAGCCAATTCCACGATGCATCATTCCACCCCGATCCTCTCTATATAGCAATACATGAACGGTGTCGGCACACCAAACGTGCCACAACGACGACAACAAAAAACACATCCGTAGCAAAAAGGTGATACCTCGAGACACAGGTGAACAAACGCGGGACATAAGGCAGCGACAGCCACGGCATGCGCAAAACATAATGCTCCATCGAATGCGGTGAGGTCGGCCACTCATTCCACTAAGACAGTGATTGTGACGAGCCATGCGTCTTCCGTGTCCCAAACGACACCTGGAAAACACATCACTCGTACATTACCACGTAGCGTGTTATGGCATAAAATTGTGTACATATTATCACACTAATTGACGAATACATTATAAATTGACTTATTCTAGTTGTGTTCGTTTGTTTGTACAGACCTATCACATTCCACATTCATTGTGTATTAGCAGTAAATTTCTAAAGAGTACTAACTTCAACAATAATATCAATAGACGATGGTTACATTCCCGATGTGACGGCGAACATTCAAGCCTGCAAGCGGATGGGTATCAAATGAAAAATGATGAAGCACACCGACTTGTTCAAATGAATTACTTTGTGAGCCACAAAAATATTAATATCGTTTTCTATCTCTAACACGGACTTACGCCCTGTCGGTCCCTGTTTCCTCCGATATGATTCTCCGGAATTATCAACCCATTGTGAATCAAATGTTTGTCTTTTCATCCGAAGGCTATTATCTATTTTATAATAATTAAAATTAAATCAATAATATCAATATTTCCTAAGTTCTATTCAAGGTTACTGAGCTTTGTACATTTTAGTTTAGACACCAAAATGCACAATTTTTTAAATAAACACTCATCAAATTTTAACAATGTCAAGTGATGGTATTAGTTTGGTTAGTGTAGTGTAATTTAAAATCTAATTAGTTTTAGAAAGACACTTACCGTCTGAAAATATTTTCCTTCTTGCTTGCCTTGCATACTTATTATCTTCAGGTTTATTCAAATTCCTAAACGGTTGATTAAGAGCTACAATATGCATCGAAAAACCGAATACAAATATTGCTAATACTGCAAGAAACCTTCCTAAATCTTTCATTAAATCGCCAATAATAATAGCCCAAGGACCAAAGAGATGATGAAATGACAAGAAGTCCAATATTTGAACACAAGCTAATAAAAAAGAAAGCGCAAAACATTGATTTCTGCAATACATTAGTGTTGGCCAGTACTTGGGCATGACAAATATCCAACCAACGAC